CATATTAGGTATTTTTGAAGCAAGAGAGGTGAAAAATGAGCAACACTCTCTCCAGGAATTGAACCACGAACCTCTGGAATACACGCCCACCTTTACACTATGAAGGCATGCTAAGAAGGCGGAAGAAATACCTTATAGCTTTTATAACACCAGGATTGCTATAGACTTTTTTACTTTTTAGTATTTACTTCTTTGAATTAATGAAATATTTAAGGTATAAAGGAATTATGCTGGCACAGTCAGTTGTGCAGAAAATTTTGTGTAGAGAAAAACATTAATACAGTAAAAGTCCAGAAATCCGCAAAGCTTGGGATCAGAGGTTGTGCGGATTTTGGGATTTTGCGGATTTCAGGACAGTAAAGATAAATCATAATATTCAGACTCAAAGTGCAAAATAAATAAGGCGTATTAGATACATTTAATTAAATTATTATATACGTTATTGCAATAATTTATTATATGCATTAAATTATTATTACATATATAAATTGATTTATTATATGTACACCGCATCGAGGTTTGCCGATTTCGCCTCATGCAAAGATTTCCGGTTTCAGATTCTGGTGTTAGAATTCTGGTGAAATGTAAAATTTCAACTGCTTTTCTTTATTTTTCCATATATCATACACAATCGTGTCACAATTCCATACGATTCTGCTATAAACCGAGGGGTGGAACCTGCCTCCATCTTTTGCAGAGTTTGCACTTTTTGTATCGCCGTCAATGCAACGTGTTTACGTTTTTCCACGTTGCAAGCAGTAAAATAAGCAGTTGCAAGCAGTAATAAAGCAGGCAGCACTAAATAATCTCGTGAAATAACAAAGCTCAGAAAATACAACAACGTGAAGCGTGAACTTGAAAGAAGAGTTGAGTGAATCATCTACTTTTTTACCTCAATGTAGATTAGAGGGAAAAAAACATTTATCATGATGTCAATAATTTGGTATTTCCGTTATGATTCATTATTATTCGGTAATTATGACATCTTTATTTGGTAAGTATTTTTTCTTCGATATTTCATACTGAATGTTGCGGTTTCCGGAACCTATAAACTAAATGTTTATATTTTGAGAGGTAATGCGGATTTCAGGAGTTGGCGGATTTCAGGTTGGCGGATTTTTGGTATTTGACTGTATTAATGAATTATGTCGTAAAACAGAAATTGTTGCCATGTAATTCTGTAAAATAAAAAATGTATTAAAAACATTTTTCCTGAAATATTTTAACCCTGTAACCAAAATGAATTTTTTAAGCTAAATTATATTTTATTTAAAAAAAATTTAAATACCAGATTTTTTTCCATTAATTAAGTTGCAGTCAAAATGACATGACAAATGACAAATGCAGTAATGCTAGCGTTAAAACCGAATGTTTTTAATTATTATCCATTGTTTGATACATCGAGAATTTGCACCCTCCATTATCGATGAATCATGTTATGCAAGTGGTGATAAAAACAGAAAATTTTATTATCATATGCACGGCATTGGCAGTTAAAAAAATTCTGATATAATTAAATGTTGAATATAGTAGCATTATTTATTTCAATCATGCCAGGTAGTTTTATTGTGGAAAATATTTATAATGATCCCCCCACCCAGTTATGCTGAGAAACAGATTTATTATGAATAAGGGGGTGGAGTTCTAGAATTAAGTAATGATGAATGCCTGTTGTATTAATGCTTTTTTAGTGAAAATAGTAGAAAAACCTTATCAATTGAATATATCTTTCTTTACAAGGGAAAAATAATAATAATTGATTTTAACCAGGTCAGAACATTTTAGAAGAAATAGCTGCGGTTTGAATCGGAATTAAAAAATAGTGTTCAACATGATCCATTATTGAAAGAATTCAGCAATTTGGAATGTGAAAATAATTCCAAATATGTCAAAGAAATAACAAAACCTATCATTGTTTATAACAGATGATTCAGCAACTTAGGCAAACGTAGTAAAATATTCAAAATGCATTCAACTACTTTCAGCATTGAAATCGAGTTAGATCTAGAAAATCTCCAAGTGGAACTAATTACTAATTTATTTACAGTGCAAAGACGAATTGAATTACATTTTTTAAATACTGGAATCAAAAATTAACTTTTATAACACTTATTAAGAAAAAAATTTAATTTGAGAAATCTGGTGCAAAAATATGAAACATAAATCATGGGCATCTGTTACTATGTGCAAATGTAAGTAACTGAAAGAAAAGAGAAACAATTATTGTACTGATTATATAGTAAAAATAATGTTATTTGAATGTTTTATTGATTATTGTTATAATTATATATGTATTGGGATAAATATTTAACTATTCTATTGTAAATTTATGAATAATAAAAATACTATGATAATTATATAGTCGGTTTTGAGTTCTCACCTAAAAGAATTTACGTGCATATATTTGTTTTTACGAAATTTTCCCATAACCGCAAATATCCTTTGTGCGAACAGTTAGCATTGGCATATTTAATCATATTTCGTCAAAAGATTTTTGTCATTTCAAAGAAAGAGACTTGCTTTAGAACATTGTGTTGCGAAATTTGTAAGCAAATACTGTTATTATTAAGTACAAGGTGTCTGAAATGGAACTATCCCACTACCAGATTAGAACGTCAATTATTTCCAGTTCTGGGGCAATATTTCCAGTTCCAAGTCAGCTACAGAATGTCACCAGATCATGTGTTCAGCTTTAGGTAATGTGTCATATGACACTGTGAAGGTTTGGTATCGAAAGTTCAAAAACAAGGACTAGAACATTCAAGGAGCAGAACGCTCTGGCCAGCCTACTGATGTTGAGACTTGTCTGCAAGAACTTGTGGATCAGTAGGCAACCACTCGAGAGCTTGCCAAGGAGTTAGACATTAGTCTATTACACTCATGTCCAAAATTATGTTTACATTACATGTATAAATTCACGGATTTCTCAGAGACTATGACTTATAATTTAACGAATTTTCGTGGAATCTTACATAACACGATGACACATAAATGCAAAAGAAAAAATTGAAGATCACCTCATATGATATAAAATTGTAGCATGAAACAATAAAAATGGTAATAAAGTGTGATAAAGCGAGTTAAGAAAAAAAGGAATGATTTAGAAAAAGAATTAAGTCTTACAAATTTAATATGGAATACGATCTCCCCTGACTTGTACACACATATCACAACGTGTTTTAAGGCTGGAAATAACGTTGTTAACCACAGTTTGGGGAATTAATCTCCACTCTTCCAGCAATGCCGTCTTCAGAGCATTTACATCTCTAGGAGGAGGATGTATACATGCAATTGCTCTTCCAAGGTAGTCCCATAAGTTCTCTATCGGGTTAAGGTCAGGAGAGTTTGGTGGCCAAGGTATTCGCTTAATGTCTTCACTTTCAAGGAATTCATCAACGAGGTTTGCTCGATGTGGACGGGCATTATCATACATAAATAAAAAGTCAGGTTCATATGCACCCCTGAAAAGTCTTACATAAGGATCTAAGACCGCATCTCGATACATCTGGCCTGTCACAGATCGGCTGCTGAACACGTGTAGGGGCGTACGCCCATCGATCATTATTCCACCCCATACCATCACACCTCCACTACCGAAACGGTCACGTTTCACAATGTTCGAGGGATCATTTCGTGTTCCTGACTCACTCCCTCCAGATGTAAACACGTTTAGAATCACCAGTTAAACTAAACCGCGACTCATCAGTAAAGAGAACATGGGACCATTGATGTTCAGTCCAATTTTGATGTTCTTTACACCAATGAAAGTGATCCCTCTTTTTCTGTGAAGACAGTAAAACACATACCCTTGGCTTTCTGGCATAAAGGCCTTTTTCATTAAGCCTTCTGTATATTGTTTGCCGTGATGCAACAGTTCCAGTGGCGGCTGCAAGCTTTGAACTTAACTGGCGAGCAGTAGCCTTTCTGTTACGACGGGCAGTTAATGCCAGATACCGATCTACAGAAGCAGTTGTCATTTGCTTCCGACCTTGTCCAGGCCTCCTTACAACACTTCCATCATTTTGAAACTATTTCCATAGCTTAGAGACTGTCTGTCTTGAAATATTCAGACATGTGGCTGTTTCCATGATTGACTGCCCTGCTTCTAAACGGCCGATAATTCGCCACTTTACAGATTCTTCCAAATGATACTTCGAAGCCATAACAAACCGCTTTGAGTCCCTACACGCTGAAATCAAACGCTATGTTGCCGAAATTCACTCAAATATTCAGTTTGCGCAAAGCGCTTGATTCATCCTCGGATGACGTAACGCCTAGATTTGCATATCACAAACCATTTGATTACTTTTGATGGGCTAATGCTAATTAGGCTTGGTTTTCACACATTCCCTGCAAATATGGATCACATTGATTCGATATTTCATTGAATATCATCATTTTTGGGTATGTAAAGATAATTTTGGACATGAGTGTAGTTGTGCTATGCAGCATAGACTGAACGTACAAGTTCATTTGCTGGGTGCTATGCATAGTATAGACTGAACATACAAGTTCAAATGCTGGGTGCTGCATGAGCTGACTCAAACAGATGACAGATCAGTATAAATGGACAAAATTCTGGACTGCATCATCACTTGTAATAAAAAGTGGATTTACTTCCAACGACAGAGGTCGAAAAGGGTGTTGGTCTGTTCCCCGGCAAGTCCATAGGCAGTGTTACAAAGCGCAATTTGACTAAGAAAAAGATAATGCTTTATATCTGATGGGATTGCCGTGGTATTATCCACAAAGAGTAATCTAGGTGTATAAGTATTTTTAGTTGTATTAATTAATGTAGTATTTAAATTAAATGTAAATATCTTTTACATGTTTTTCAGTGAAAATATTAGATTTTGATTATGTTTTGGGAAAGTTTATTTAATGATTCCAGTGCTGATAGAATTTTGGTTTTATCGTGATACTTTTTTGTAATAAAAATTTTAAGAATTTTAATTTCAAATTATGGAAGATTTATAAGTTTGCAATTTTTCCCTTTTTAGGTATTATGAAATTGGGGACAAAGAGAGAGCTGCCATTGATTTTGAAGCAGCTTTGAATTTAAATCCGAATACGAAAGTTAAAGAATTATATAGCAAACTTTTGTTTTCAGTTGCCATGCAGTAAGTTTATATGTTAATACTTATTTTAAATTTGAAATTCCCCTTTTTAATGTGTAAATTAATTTTTATTTCTATTAGCTGAGTCCTCCCCCCAAAAAAACAATTATTCATTATAATAATATATCACTCTGCATGCTACTTCAGCTTCGAAAAATATGACAGCTTATGAATCGCATTTTCATTTTCGGTTCTCTCATGATTGTGGGGGGGGGGCAGCATTTTCCCATCTTATGTATTGTGTATTTTTTAAGTGAACCCTGAAATCTTAATGTTTGGAGTGAAATGTTACACATTGTGGTTTCCTTTTATAGGCATAACTGGAAAAAAAAGAAATAATTTTACTACACTACAAAGTCTGTAATCCGGATGTCCATTATCTGGAATGATCTATAATCCGGACCTCAAAGCCACAAACTTTTTTTTTTTTTGTATGCTTTATGCATGCGCGTTTAGCACAAAAAACGAAGCAACTTAAACAACTTGCATTGAAAGAAATATTTAATAAAGTAAACAAATAAATATTAAGCTTTTTTTTTTCCTAAATTTTGATACCCTTTAGATCATAATTGCTCTTTATTTCAAAAATTATGCTTTCATATTTTTAATTGTATAATTTCTGCATGCCATCTTACCAGATTTAAAATTGATGATCTATAATCTGGAAAAACCCTTAATCCGGCATCGCCGAAGTCCCGACGAATCCGGATTATGGACTTTGTACTGTATTAACTTCATCTCAGGTAGCACTGCGAATTGTACTTATTCCTTAACTTTCCAATTTAGTTTATTACTAATTTAGTTAACTAACAGTTTATTATTTTGTTCAGTCTATTATTGCTAGTTAACAGTATTTTAGTAAAAGATATCACCTCCATTTTACACTTTTCTTGAAACTTTATATCCATCACACAGTCAACTGATATTTTGGAATTTTGCACTCCTAAAATTCAGACATAAAGTAACATTTTTAAAATTGATGCAGCAGTAAGACCACCTTAGAATTCTTGAAATATTTTATTATAAAATATGCTTTGTTGAGCATTTTCGCTGTCATATTATAAAGTCATGATAGGTCCGCAAATACTTTTTTAAGTGCTTGCGTGTGTGGCATAAGGATGCCAGCTTTCGTATTTAATTATTTTTAAAACGATTTTTGCTCCTTAAAAGTCCTAAATTTCGGCCTAAATCGGCAGAAGGTCTTTAATTTTAATCATCTGAAATTTCTGTTTATTTTTACAGCTGCCATTTTAAGTGTGAATTAGCATTTTGGAGGCACATTTTTGGAAATTCACTGACAAATATGATTATCTTTTCAATGGGTTCATGGGTTGTTCCTATTTCTTTATATAAGTAGTGGGATACTCCGAGCTTTGTAGTGAAAGAAGTGAAACAGAAACATTTCAAAATTATTTCATTTTTCTGTAATGAAGAGCATTTAAATAAGTTTCTGCTTTTGGGGATAGGAATTCTTTTATTAAATGGCTCTAAATTTGGCGATTTATCAACATTTTGATGATTTTAAGATCAGTTTCTATAGGAAATTTTAAATTCAGGCATCTGGAAATTTTTCAATGGTTTTTTTTAGAACATTGTAACATTGATATATTTCATTTAAATAATGGTAATATATTCAAATTATATTTAAAAAGTAACATTAAAATAAAACATTTTTAATTTTCACTGTCATATTATAAAGTTCCATTTTGGCTACTTATTATACAATATTTTGAATCTGAAAAATAAAGTATACGGCTATAAAGCAAAGCACAATTTACAAAAACAGGTCTTAGCAAAAGCAAAATAGCTATGTAACTAATTAAAAATGTATTTTAAAATTTTTTCATTGTAATTTTCCCATGGAACTGTTTCAGAATTTTAAGAATTCTCAGTATGCATCAGTTTTCTCTATAAAATTAATTTTACACTTTTTCCCTCTGATATTTTTTTAAAAATATTTCTAGCTTTTTGCTGCTACAGAATTGGTAGGGGTAATTTTTCTTTGGGGTTTTAGACATTGCAACTTGGAAAGTTAAGAAGGATTTGAAGGCAAGATTTATAGACTCAATGTTCTAGAAGATTCCAAAAAAAATGTGACAAAAGAAAAAATGTATCCATGGTATTAACATGTAATGCATGTATTTTACAGAAAACGTGCGATGAATTTTTTACTTTTTGGAGAATGTCTAGAAGAACAGTGAAAGCATAATATTTGAATGTTTTACTTCTGATACTAGAATCTTAACATGTCACTTTCTTAACATGTTTATCTTCCCTTTATTTTCTCTATTTTTCACAAGACACAAGAATGGAAAATATCAAAAATGCTTCTAATCTGATCACATGGACATGCATTATAGAAATAATTTTCTTTATTAATTAACAAAGATATATTTTTATTAATTAATAAGAACAATTTAAAAGGCCATCTAATGTGTCTTAATGCATCATTCACAGGGCTGGTGGCTAGGCATTTTCCCACCTGATGCAACTTCTGAGGATCTTAAATTCTGCTACCTAGTGCCTTTCTAAATTCTGCTTCCAATGCCTGTTATAAGTCTAAATGTTTTGCCATTTCTAGATTTTGTTGCTTGGTGTGTCACTAAATTCTAAAAATTCTGCCACACCAGTTCTGTAACTGTTCCTTACTGTATATATTTCATATTTCTTCTGAAGGTTTGTATTGCTGAAGAAATAAAATTAGATACTTTTTCTATGCATACTAAATGCATTTAGTTTTTTTAGAACAACTAAAATTTTTAATTGAATTCAAAAATTCTAAAATTAAAAGGAAAAGTGTTGAATAAAAAAAATGAATTCATAAAGAGAAAGAAAATTATTCTTCAAAGATGTGTGCAGTTATTATGTACATTACCCACTTGTTTATAATTTCAGCTTTTACTGTAATTTCCCATTTCTATTTTCTCACCAGAATGCGAATCACTTAGACAGTTTTTAAACTAAGGTTTCTGGAGTAAATAATTTTTCTAAATTTTTCGGAAGTCTAGAATTATAACCTATAAAATTTTTACCATCATTGTAAAGTAGGTGTATTTCTAAGCAAACCTGCAAAAAATTAGAGTTTTTTTATTCAAAATTTTCTAAGATATACATGAATTTACATATTTCGAATTTACATTCTTAGAAAATTTTGGAATTTGGCATCCTTTTTTTTTTTTTTTTTTTTTTTTTTTTTTTTTTTTGTGATAATAACACCAAATGTGGTTTATAGATTTTGTTACAGTGAATTGCCACAGCTATTTTAACCTTTAATTTCAAATAAATTTTTACGGAGAATTAATTATATGAAATTTTTTCCCTCAATGATGCATAATAAATATTTATTAATACTATATGAAAAGCTATTTTTTTAAAATTATTGATGATATTATTCAAATTTTTAACTTTTTTAAAAAATTCTTTTTATCTTCCCTTTAAAAAAAATATTTGTAAGAGTAATTTTTACCTTCAACGTGTTATCGTCTGCTACTTTACTTTAACTGCATTTAAATTGAATTGTCTAAAACTGAGAAATAATATTTAAATATATTAAGTGTAAATTTATATATTGAATATTATTAAAAAGTGTTAGGTACCACCATAACTCTGTTAATCTGCTGATGACATGCCCCTTCCAAGCACTCAGTTATTCAGCAGTTTTTCTGTCTTTGAAATTTTTGAAAAATTCTTTAAAAACATAAATGTTTAAAGACTTCCAAAAAATATTGTGTTTTTTTTGGGGGGGGGGCTCCCGCTGTGAAAGTTTACCAAAAAAAAAAAAAAAAAAAAAAAAAAAACCTGGAAAATATTTTATATACAGAAATTATTAATTATGAGACAGTTAATATAAGGATTTATGCTGCCAACTAAATATTTAATTTTAAAAACAACTTATAGAGCCCATCATTTTAGCATATAAAATCCAAATTTGTGGTCTTTTTTTAAAATAACAATAACTTTCTTCTTTTAATTTTTAGTTATCAAAAAAAGTTGAAAAATTATGAAAAAGCTGCCATAATGTTATGTTCATGTTTGGAATTAAATGAAAAGGACAGTGAACTTTTTCTAAAGTGTTTAAGAAAGATTAAGGTAAGTATAATGGTATTTATAATGTCTAACACATTTTCTTTCTGAGTGATTAAAAGTGCTGGCCATTTAATTCAAATTTAATATGTGTTATTGTTTCTTACTAGAATTCCTAGGCATTATCCTTTATTTACTTATATAGTTGTCAGTTTATTAACAACTGAGAACATTTTATTTTTAGTTACCAAATTCATTGATTAAAACATTACTTGTTTGGAAATAAATAGGGCATGGCACATGTAGTAAAACATTATTTGTTTGGAAAGAGAGTATTACTCGTGTAGACACAAATAGGTGAACAAAGTGTGCTTCTAAATATTTTTGTTGTAGTTTTGCTACCATCCTTTTATAGAGTGCAGAAGCAAATGTTTTTTAAAAATTGTGAGAAATATTAAGGGCTTATAACCTTCAGTCAAATAAGTACTTTGTAACCCATATCCATTTTTTTTAATCTAACATTAAATTTTCTTAAAAAAATTTCTTTGAAGTCATTTATATTACATAATTATGGGTATTCAAGTTTTATTTCTTTATTTTCTAATTTCTTCAAAGATGGAGTGTAATGCTTTTATTTTGAAAAACATGTTATCAGAGGTAATGATTCAACATAAAATAATTATTAAATTAAAGTTATGAATTTCTCAAGATCATGATATATTAAAATATGAGTACTTCTGTGAGTGATAATAAAATATTATATTGAGGGATTATAAAATGATACAATATAAATATGAGTGTGCTGCATTCTATACATTGCTGGTGAATATTATGTCCATAAATGATTATGAAGAAGGTCATGCCATCTGCATAATTATGTAAAGCTGTGAGTTAAAGAAATGTAGCTCCCTTGTTGTTCGTTTCGTTATCAAGGTAAGCTATTGATCTTTCCAATGAAAGCCATTGCAAAGCTTTCAAGTATCGGTTGCCACGCTACCTGGAAAGCCAGGAAAGTCAGGGAATTCCAAAAGTGTTAAAAAAATTCAAGCAGTTTAAATATTTTGGTCAAAATTTGGAGAAGTCGGAGAATTTTATACTGCAATCCCCAGCTTTAAGAAAGGCGATTTTTGTGGCAACATTGTGAGCAGTCACTTTCTTGGTGAATCGTGTATCACGTGACCATCATTGGGACAGCTGGTGTAAAACAATTTTCGCAGTGCCAATCAGATTGTCTTTTAGAAAGGCAAAGCAAGTTTCAAGAACTTCGAGATCCAGAGATTCACATGCGTACATGCAGTGCATGTTGAACGTAAAGTAAATTTCCCCCATTCTCATATGAATCAAAATCTTTTAAACCTTTTCTTCTTTTTTAAATGCCTTATTTGTCATTTTGCAGTAAAATGAAATAAAGAAAAAATCTTTTATCTAGGATAACCATTTGATATATCTACTATATTCACCAGAATATCATTGATTATTGTAATTCAGTTTTTGATCCTTAAGTAATTAACTTTATTTTAATGTTATTTGTATCATCTAATGTGACTTCTTCTTTCTAAATATATTTATTATTACTTAATAATACTTTCAAATTTCAGGCGAATTTCTCTGGCATACTTGTGAAACTAATTCTAGCAGTAATACGACATACCATCACGAAACTTGGTGCACATGTTTTTTACTTATGTATGCTGCTAAATAAATATAAAATACTTGAATTTATTTTAAAGTATCATTAGATAGATTTCTTTCTTCCTTTAGTTGCAGAAAAGACATTTTTAAATTCTGATGGGCAGATTTTAATCTCAATCCTCAGGGAAGAAAACAGCTGTTATTATAGCTACAGCTTTGGGGCTGTAAAGTCATATGTAATTGCCGAATTTTTGTGTTTTCAAGTGTAGTACCATAATTAATTTACCATCAGCAGCCAACATGCACTAAGCAGATAGCTTGGAATTTTCTTGAAACACACCTGGAATATTTGGAAAAGTCAGGGAATTTCATTCTCCTGTTTGAGTGGCAACCTTGAGGTGTGCACAATCATGTGAGCAAAATAAAAGGTGCAAAATGTGTTCTTTCACTATCATCTATAATTTTTAGGCCAAAGAGTATGAAGTGGAACATGCACTCACGTTACTTGCAGCCATACATTTGCAAACATAATGTATTTGTGAGGTTTTAGGTAATTAGCCTCAATGGAGATTATGAATAAATTACACGTTTTACACTTATATCACTGTATGGCATGGGAATGTGGTGATAGTAGACAGTGTTGTGAAGAAACACAATGCATGCACCAGGAGTAGGTAATGGCGGTAGTAAACTCAAAAGTAGAAGCATTATGTATTATCACACAGCAGTAAAGTTTATGTCTAGAATAGAAGAAGCATTTCAGATGGTGAAGAAAGTATAGCTGAATTTAAAATTGGGATTGCTGGCTTCTTTGGCCAGCATTTTAAATGACACTTGTCAAGTTAGAGTTTTGAACCTTTTGAAATTCGATGTAGATTGCGCAAAAAAAGGGGGGTCAGTTCTGTATCTCCCGTTCTACTGGACCTATTGACGAAATTCAAACTGTGTTTTGAAAGCACAACTGAAGGTATATATTAGATTTGTATATAGCATTGTTCTAAATAGGTATTCTGACATAAAAGGAGACCTTTTCTGAAATAACATACCAATTTTTCCCCATATTTCGATTCTACGATTCAAATTATGCCTAAATATTAAATTTTGTAGAATTTAGTGCAAAATTTGCGGAGAAATTAAAAAATTTATGTTGGTGCATTTTTTTTTTTCCCCCAGTTTGTGCCAAGAATAATTTACTTATTTCTTAACATATAACAACCTGTTTTCCTTTCCCTTTCATTGTATAGGAATGGAAAAAAAGTGACATCGTTCCTACCTTTTTAAATTGTGCATGAGTGGGAAAAAAGTCACATCGTTCATATTTTCAAATAATTTTAACAAAGTGGGTAAGCCATATTTTATGTTATTATAGCTTTCAACAAAGACACCAAATTTCAAAATGTGCCAATATATAAAAGCTCACGTATATCTTAGAAAATTTTGAATAAAAAGCTCTAATTTTTTGCAAGTATACTTAGAAATATATCTGCTTTAAGAGGATGGTAAAAATTTCATAGGTTATAATTCGGAATTTTTTCCCAAAAATTTATAAATATTATTTAAAAATACGAATAAAAAAAAAACATAAAGAATGGGTGAATTTTATTTGGAATGAACCTAAATTTCGAACTGTGAATGAAGGAATCAAGTAAGTGTAATAAAAAAAAGAGATATTAATAAATACATACCAAATTGAATTAACATTGTGGTGCTGAAATTTTGAGAGCTAATTTTTTAGAAACTACTCGTAGGATTTTTACAAAACTTGGCAGTTTGCCATAATTTGAGTCATAGAATCGAAATATGGAAAAAAATTACCAAGTCATATCAGAAAAAGTCTGATTTTGTGTCAAAATAGCTATATTGGAACAGTGCTATTTATAAATTTAATAAAGTCAAAAATCTTTAATCCGGAATGATCTATAATCTGGACCTCAAAGCTACAAACTTTCTGCGCATGCGTAAATGCATGCATATGCGTTTATGCAAGCACATAATATCTTTATGCATGCGCATAACATGTTTACGCATGCGCGTTTAATGTATAACAGAGGGTATAAGCTAAGCTAAAATTATCTAATTATCTATTTCAGTTAATGTTGCAGATTGCGTTGTTCCTTAATCTTCTAATTGGATACGGCTTATTATTTTTTGCAGACTGTTAGAGCAATTTTATAAAAATAAGCTTGAACTTTCGATTATGTCAAAAAGAATTTCCAATTCTGGAGCTGCCAAAGGATCTACAAAGCAAAAGCATGTTTCGATGTCCATCAAGCAAAAAGTGGAATTGCTGCAAAAAATGGATAAAGGCACATCCTTTGATTCTCTAATCATTCCGAAATATGTTTATCAATTTCACGCTGAATGAACGCGCAATTTCACGCGCAATGAACTGGAAGTTGATCTGTCAGCACTATCCTTATTTTCAGGGCAGATGTTTTTATTTTATTCGGCTTATAATTCCTTACTAAATGTAGTATTTCATCTCGATGTACTCCATCTTTGATGTGATTTAAATAAAATTCCTCGTCGTTATAAATATCATGAATACACAATAAATAGTTTTCTGGTTGCAATTTTCTAATTTCGACTATGCGTAATGTAAGCTTTACGCATGCGCGCATTGAAAGAAATGTTTAATAAATTGAACAAATAAATATTAAGCTTTTTTTGGTAAATTTTGATACCCTTTAGATCATAATTGCTCTTTATTTCATAAATTACAGTTTCATATTTTTAATTTTATAATTTCTGCATGCCATCATACCAGATTTAAACTGAGGATCTATAATCCGGAATTGCCAAGTCCCGACGAGTCCGGATTAAAGACTTTTGACTGTACATATCCTAAGTCACACTTTCGTGACATGGAAAACACAATTTGAATTTCTTCAATTGGCCCAGTAGAACAGTAGGTATAGAATTCCTCCCCCCCCACACAATGTACAATATGTCGGCAAGTTAATGGCACATTGCATCCTCTTGTACCACCTGCCTCAAATAGTAATGAAGACCTGTGTTTAAACAGCATTTATTAGCCAGATTTGTGTAATTACTTATTTTAGTCTCTATTTCATAAACTTACATTTATTAAGATGATTTTACATTATTAAAGAAAGTAAGTTAACAAAATATCTTAAATTATAAGCTAATATATGCGAAGTGGCAAAATATCTGATTAAAGGATAAAGCCGGTCATGGTGCTCGAAGGTTTAAAGAAGGTTTGCAGCTGTTCTGTTTATTGTCAGAGCATATTTTGTATTCAGATGTTGCTAAAACAGAAAGTAAAGCAAATTTAGTCACTGCTTTTGTGTAACAAAATTTATATGCCAATTATAATGTGAAATGCTCATTATCCAGAAAACCTCTATAAGTTAAGTTAATAAACTAACTATGCAAGTATTTTTAATATGACCAGAATAATAGAATGTATTAAT